CCCCCCCCCCCCCCCCCCCCCCCCCCCCATCTCTCTTTGCAAAAGTAAGTTCTCTTCCCTACTTGTTCCCTTGAGAGTTGCTGCCTATTTCAGTCACCTGCACTTCTTCATGGTAGTACCTCCTCTTCCCAGCTTCTCTTCTGAAGTAGAGTTTTCTGCTCTTTGCTCTCCCTCATCTCCTACAGGAAACAGGCATTCCCATTTTTGTAAGCCCTCTTCTCACTCTTTCCTGTCAGGAACCCAGAGGGTGGTCCCTTGTTCCCACTCAGTGAATAGGTCCACACAAGCAAGGGCATGCCTGGTAGTGTGCCCCTTAAATCTACTGATTCTAGAACTAAGAGATTCCTTCACAGTGAGAGACATGAACTAATACACAGGGTAGTGTTTGAAGCCAATTTGCTTAACTTTGATACAATTACAGATAGGAAAGATATATTCTATTGTGAACTCTGAAAAAGGAACATTCTTCTTAATGTAGGTTTTAAGGTTTTCCTTATCCTCTCTCAGCCTCTTAAATGCACAGTTTAAATGTGAATGCATTGATTTGTTCCCATTAACTCTTCATAACCCAGGCCTGGGCACATTTCCTGAATTAAACTATAAAGGCACAAGCCAATATGCAGCATAACGAACTTCAAAATTATCATGCGGGGCAACAAGCACTTACAGAATTATATTAATTATAGATGGCTTAATGCTGCCTTTACAGGATATAGGCCTGAAAGGGGCTACTCCAGCCATAAAGTCCAGTCCCCAGACTGAGGAAGGGTGTCATTCTGATATAACCTTTTCAGGGTAGTATGTTCTCTGGCATTGTACTTGTAAAAGTCTTTATTGCCAATTTCAACAAAGAAAGCTGTCCTGTACCTTAAAGTAGATCAAACTGCAATCAAAATTAATTTGTCCCCATCCCAACATTTTTACATTTTAGAAGGAAAAAACTGAAGAATTTGTTTCACAATTTCATGACAGTGGAATCTTTACATGTTGAATAGAAACCATAAGCGCATCTCCTTTGAAGCAAATGTTTTGCTCAACAAATTAAAATTCAGCATTGGTTAGTGTAACAGGGTGGCCTCCTTGTCAGGTCTCCACCAACCCTGCTCCAGGGGTAACTGCCCACTTCGCTGTCCTGCCATGCCTTGATGGAAAAATATGTGAGCTGTTACTAAGGCAGGAGGCTACCCTCCTGACAAGGGCCTAATATCCGCTCTGACTTCCCTTCCATGGGTCCCATGCCTTGCAGATGTTACTGTGTGTGTGTTACTTCTCCAGCCTACAGCTGGAGCAAAGTGGGCACACAAATATAGCTCTTTTCTCGACAGCCCCAAAAGGCCACACACGTCAACCCTCTCTCATTGGGGTCTCACTCACTCCGCTGGCTCTCACCCAGCCTCTTTCATACTGCCCTCTCTCAGGGCCACACTCATCCTGCCCAGCCTCACCCTGCTGCAGGCTTACCTCTTCTCACCTTGGTCAGCCCCGGTGCAGTCTGTTGGGTGTCTCCCACTACCCCTACCGGAGCGTTGACTGACTGATTCTACAACTATAGGCCTATTTTGTTCCTGGCCCCTTGCCGGGCCACTAGACTTCCACTGGGTCTCCTCAGTTGCCCACACTCATGGGGCTGCTCTAATCGTTGCTCCTCTCACTCAGGGTCTCTCTAATCATCACCCCCAGGCTCTACCCTGCCGTCTCGGCACAGCCCCAGGTCCCTCCTCTGGCCTGAGCTCTGCCTCAGGGCTCCTTAACAGATGCAAAGCTAACAGAAAATCATGACAGTTGTATATTTCAAGGATGAGAATCACCCAGATTCTCAGACAGACTGTTTTCCTCATTTTGACACACATACCTGACATAAACCATGCAAGCATGACCAAAATGTTTGTAGTCAGAAGAATCCAGCGCAAGGTAGCTGCACTTTATTATCTTTGTTCTGCTGACTGCACCTTTTAATTTCTAAGGGCAACCACTTTATGACCAATTCAGTGCAGATGACAGGGGAAACACACACAGAACCACATACCAAACCACGCTCTCACCCACCCGGCTCAAAGATGCCATGTTTGTTCTTCCTTTAAATCTAAAAGCAAAACACCAATCAGCTGAAAATATCAGTTTTCAAAGTCAAAAGAAATATAAGTCAGACACCAGGAAACACAACCACATCAGTATAACTTGCCATTTTTTCACCTTCGGCAACACTATTTTCTAATAATGTCCCAAAATAAATGTTGAGGGTGCCAAACCCACATGGGAACTGGATCCTCTAAGTAAAATAGAAGCTCCAAAGCTTAAGGGATAGTAGGAAATCAACTTCACTGGCTTAGCAGCACAGCATAGTCTCAAAATGGTAATTCTCTGATGCTGACAATGAAGAAGCCAGAACTATCATGCAAACATCCAGAGGAAAATATCCCAAAGAGGCCTCTTAGGATAAGTTCTCTCTCTCTCTCTACATTTCACTGCTTGTAAAGTTCTTCCTGACCCTAGTCATTTTAAGCCCAAGATCCAAACAGCAGTTCAAAAGGCGAAAACAAACAGCTGCCAATAACAAACTAACACCAACCAAAAATGTTCAAGATTTAAATAACACACAATCTTTACTAACTGCTTACAAAACGGTTGTTGGAAGAAAAGTGCATAAATCTTTGTCACTGAGGATTAAGAACACATACTCCAACATCTGATCTGTATGCCAAGTTACTGTGGAATATAAAGTGACAGAAAGTGGGAATGAGCTTCCCTATGCTAACTTCAGTGATAATTATGCTAAAGCATCTCTGTAGTTTGGGCGCTACTAAGGAGAAAATAATAAGGATGCATATTCACTGGAAAAAAAAAAAGGAGAGAAAAAGATTAGGCCAGATCCAACTCCATCCATTTAGGCGCCTAAGTAAGTTAAGGTCCCCAAGTCGGATCCTATTCCACCCTGAAAAACTGTTACTACAGAAAGTGGGAGGGTCCTTGTCCTCTTCTTCCTCCTTGCTGCTTTTCTGAGATGCAAGTCTTAAGGATACAATGGAGATTGTTACAAAAAGTAGATGCACTAAATGAGTTTTCAAGAACTCTAGCAGGGTGAAATACAATCTGGCCCATTATTCTTTGAAGGCACCTCATCATAAAAGGAACCGCTATCCAGCTGGATGACAAGGTAGGTTGCTTTGCAGAGCAGACAAAACTTTAAATAGGCTCCTTTTATGCTCTGCATTCACATTATGTACAATGATCTTGCCCTCACCAGTAATTTCTAAATGGCAACTGTTTTTTGAACCAGGTAACACTGCTTAGAACCAGCATAAGCCTGCATGCCACATTCTCACTCTCCCCACTCCTCCCTCTACCCCCCAAATTATGCATTAGGGGTAGCTGAAAACTAGACCATGATGTACAGAAGGCAAAAGTTATTTGTACTTGTAAAGCCCTATGTTCCCTATGTTCAAATAGGCTCCTATAGATAGCGGTTTCCCCTTGGACCTAACTGAGACCTTCACCCCTACAGCAAGCTTCCAGCTAGAAATTGGTAAAAAAGAGGTCTTAGCTCAGCTGAAAGCAGAATTCTATCTTGCAAATGAAAATTAACTGTGCCAATTATAGCAACAGCTGAAACAGAATCCAGCTGAATCCATTGTTAGCTGCATTGATTCCACAGTGTTAGAATGATTTTTATTTACTCCTTTTGACCAAAAAAGCAAGTGTACAGATCTCTAACTAAGCACAGGGACTTGATCTTCTATTAAACTGGTTCCATGTTTGCATCCAACCTCTAAGAAAAAAATCCCTATTAAGTATGAGTCAAATCTGGAAGGAAAAGATTCACGGTTTAAAATCTAGAAAACAAAAGAATTGTGTTAGAAAATTCAAACTATCACAAACATGTACCTTTTGAAAAAAAGTCTGTCTTCTGATACTGTTGTTAAACAGTATACACCACCAACCGCTAGAAAAAATAACTCTATTGAGAGTACACAGCAATTAAATCCCTTTCCACTATTGTTTAGGCCTGCTAGGACTTCAGATTAAAAAAGAAACAGCTATGTTGCAGTTTCCTTTCCTAGGTGTAGGAATTGTTTCTCCCATCAGAATAGAAATTTGTGGGAGGATCTTTTAAATTCAATCACTAATGTAATATTTTCCTGGCTTATGTGGATCGTCTGATGTCACTGTGTAGCCAGCTGCTTATTCCTTTTCAAAAGCAGCAAATTGTTCATTTACTACACTACCATGAAGTTACATGAAGTGCAAAAGATTGCTTTAAAATCCCAGTAACATGTAAATGCAGCAAGAATACAAGAGATATGGCTTACATGACTCTGACATCCAAGTCACACACCACTGCTACAGATGGACAGGCAAACTAAATCAGCTGAGGCAGAAAGCAGGATAAGCCTCCTAGCTACTATACCATCAGCTTAAGAAATAAACACGCACACACTAAAGCTCAAATACAGAAGAACATTACATACAGAATTTACGTACATAGTCATTTAAGCACTCTGTTTACTAAATAATGTACAAATTTCGAGAAAGGGGGGTTGGAAAAAGCTTTCAGTCCCTAGCTCGCAAAGCAGTACATCTATTCACCAATGTCAACTCTCACAAAATGGCGATTAAAAAAGCAAGCCCAAACCATGCCAACTTCTTAGTGATTTCTGACATTTTAAATGCATACCATATTTACTCTATTAAAAAATGAGGGTTTTTCTTCATCTAATGTGGGGAGGAGGCCCCTTGTCTTAGAACTAAGCAAGACAGGAGTGGGCAATTATTTTGGGTGGAGGGCTGCTTACTCAGTTTTGGCAGGCTATGGAGGGCCGCATGGGTAGCCCCGCCTCTTGACAGGTGCCCCACCCCCTGGTAACCATCTTGGAACCAGTGTCCCAATGTCTTGGGACCCACATCCCAGGGCCAGCACCGGTGGGGCCCAGAGAGGAGCACAGGCTGGCAGGGATCTGTGGAGCCCAGCTAGGCTGCACCAGCAGGGAGAGGGGAGAGCTGACCCGGTTACATAGAGCCCCTGCCGGCTGGGACCCTATACCCCTGCCGGTGCTGGCCCCAGAGCACTGGTGCAGGTCCAGTGCTCCCACTGGCTCCCCACCCACTCACACCCAGTGCCCCCAGCCCCATGTACAGGCAGGGGGCAGCGCACAGCCCTGGCCCCCTGCTTGCCAGCAGGGAAGAAGCTGTGCTGAGCACAGGGAAAAGCAGCCCCTCATCCACCCCATGGCTCGCACTCCCTGCTGCAGGCACTCGCAGCCTGCACAGGGCTGTTCAGAGCAGGCACAGGCAGCCTCATGAGGGCTGCGAGCAGCTGAAGCGCAAGGCACAGGCCACACAGCGAGTGAGGGGCCACTCTTCCCTGAGCTCAGCACCAGCTTGTAACCTGCCCCCACTGCCAACCTGGCAGTGGGGCCGGGTCACAAAGTAGTGCTGAGTGTGGGGGGGAAGCAGCCCCTCACCCACCCCATGCCCAGTGTCCCATGCTGCAGCCGGCCTGGGGCTGCCTGTGCCTGCTCCGGACAGCCCCGCGCAGGCTGCAAGCACCTGCAGCAGGGAGCGCTAGCCATGCGGTGGGCAAGGGGCTGCTTTCCTCCATGCAGAGGAGCCCAGGGAAAAGCTGAGCACGGGGGGAAAAGCGGCCCCTCCCCCGCCCCATGGCTGGCACTCCCTGCTGCAGGTGCTCACAGCCTACACGGGGCTGTCTGGAGCAGGCACAGGCAGCCCCATGTGGGCTGCAAGCAGCTGCAGCACAGGGCGCCGGCCATGGGGCAGGGAAGGGGCCGCTCCCCCCCCACGCTCCTTCCCTGCCTGGGGTCCCCCTCGCCCTTTCCCCCCCCCGCACTTACCTGTGGTTCTGGCGCGGGGCAGCCATGTGCTCCCAGCCCAGAAACCCCAGGCTGGGCTTCCGGCTGCGGGGGTGGGGCAAGGCGAAAGAAGGGGGACTGGGAACCCAAGGTTGTGGGGGGGCTGAAGCAGCATGGAGTGAGCAAAAAGAGGAGGGATGGGGGGCAGGGTCGGCAGGTGGCAAGCTGCCTGCCTGCCCCACTACTGCTTGCCCCGCTACTGCCTGCCCTCTGCTTCTCCTACCATGTGCCCCCTACTGCCTCCCTCACTGTCTATCCCATTACTGCCCCTCTCAATCACCTCTCCCCCCCACCACCCCACCTGCAGTAGTGG